AATCCAGCCTAAAACATTAAACTGTGTAATGTACTGAGATTAAGAAACAGGCTTATGAAGCTGTTGTTCTTTCTGCAGTCTGATGATGGAATGATGGAGGGACCACTGGAGGTACGAATGGGAGGAGATATGAGTCACCTGTCTGAACAGGTGAGCACTGCAGGCCAATCACAGACAGATTACGGTTAAAGGTGTGGATGAATGGAACTGTGCTTTTTCGTGTAGTACACTGGTTTATGGTAGACTTTGTCAGACATCCACAGTTTCCATGTGAAACGCAGACCTGATCTTTCTTTTTTTAATATTCTGTTTATTACTTTTGTAAAATTCACCAATATCAGCATAATACAGTGTGAACTGTTTTTTCACACCCTCTTCCCCACAGACACCTCCACGTCTCTCCTTTTCATTTAAAACAATATTATAAAACACAGATGATAAACAGAGATATACAAACAAACAAACAAATAAATAAATAAATGAAATGCCTAAATAAATAAAATAGACAAAACAGACAAACTAACTAAAAAAATCAACACACAAATAAAACAATATCACTGGAACTAAGGGTTCTAGACCAACCCCTGAAAAACAGCCCCATATCATCATCCCTCCTCCACCAAACTGTACAGCTGGCACAGTGCAGTCAGGCAGGTAACGTTCTCCTGGACAAACCCAGACTCGTCCATCAGACTGACAGATAGAGAAGTGTGATTTGTTTTGTTCAGTTTACTTTCATTGCAAGTTGTAAATGTTTGTTCCTTCTGTTACCATTTCAGAGTATAATGAAGGTAGAAGCCTCTAAATTGTCACACTTTCTGCTGAAAGAAATGCCATCACCTTCTGTAATTCTTGACTCTTAGATTTCCCCGTCTGAGCAGCCCAGAGCAGGACTGAAGAAGAAGCAGCAGGACAAAGAGAAGGACACTGCAGCAGCGGCAGAGCCAGGTGTGTGTCCATGCGAGCGTACCTGTGTTTGTGTGCTTTATTTAAAGGTGAATTCCACTGAAATCTCAAAACTCCTCCATAGTTCAGTAGCTGAGACGTTAGCGGTTCTTCAGAGAGGTTTGGTCTGAGACGGTTTGGTGTAGAGAAACATCACCACTGTGAATATTTCAGACTTGTTTCTCTAGACTTTTCCCTGTTTCACAGCAAAACATTCAGAATGACTTTGTGCTTGTGGGTTATCTGTAGATGCAGCCGCTGCTCCAGCAGGGGGCTCCACTGACTACACTGAAGTTCCTCTGGGGTCTCTGGACATCTCTGCTGCAGACAGCCTCACTCTGTCCCCTCAGGCAGGTGCGTCCACAGCTAAATACTCTCCAGTAGCAGTGGTCAATTTGGCTGAAAATGTCTATATATACTTATGTGTACGCTCTTAAAATAGATGGTTCTTTGAGGGTTCTTTAGTAAAGAAAATGATTCTATATAGAACCATCAACACTCAAAGAACCCTTTGCATGACTGCAGGGTTCTTTGCATCATGAAAGCGTTCTTCGGATTGATGGAAAATGTGCATGAATGTGCTGTAGATGCTTTTTGAAAATGTGTTAAGAAAACAATAGTTAGCTATATGTGAACTTAACATGTATGACACTTATGTTTACATTAAGTCAGTGAGGAACGCTCACGGCCTTCTAGACCTTTTGTTTTTTTTTGCATATCCATAGATTTTAGCTCATTATATTCAATAGAACCATCATGCTTGCTGTGTTTGAAGTCTGTAAATATTATAGTCGTACTCTTATTTTATTGTTGTAGTTTTAATCAAATGGGTTAAAAGTGCCAAACAGAAAATTATCCAATCATTATTGTGTTCTCTGTGATATTGAGGTAGATACAGCTCAGCAGGCTCTCCCATTGGTTAGGACTTCAGGAGCTGAACTGAAGGCCTTACATGTTAGATCAGGCATGTCAAACTGGGGACCTTCCAAGCCAAAGTGCTGCAGAGATCAGTGTTTACCCTCATCTGACGCTCTGAATTCAGTTCATGAAGGCCTTACTGATTAGCTGATGAGTCGAATAAGTTGTGTTTAATGAGGCAGTGCACTGAAGTCTGCAGAGTTTTGGCCCGTGAGGACTGGAGCCTGACACGTGTATTAGATTAACTACCAACATCTTCAGAAGTGACAGAGGAATCTAGTTCTAGATACATCACTGACTGTGAATACGAGCTGTAATCTAAGCAGGTTTTGGATAGTTGTTAGGAATGGAAAACAGCGGCGGCAGAACTCTTTACTGAAAGAGTCACTGTAACAATGATACATACAAGCTCAGATATATGGTAATGACTGTTACAAGCTTCAAATGAATAATATGGAATGTCTTTTACAAGCTTCAAATTTCTGGATTTAATCTAGATTTAGTCTGGATTTAATCCAGCGTGAGCAGGCACCAACATAATATTAGAAATCCCATAGGGGTGCACTAGCAGAAATAGTGATAATTGTTGAGGTGTTTTGTTTCTTGTTTTCAGTGAATTGTGACATTGACTTGATCTGAAGGCCTAACTTTAACGATCACAGTTCACGACTGTGTATAATGTATATATTTCAAAATAATATCGAGGCTTGCGCTGTCATGAGTGAATAAAATTCTGCCTCCCTGAGTAAATCAAAAAACATCAAAAATAACTCCAAAACATTAATGAAATCTGAAAAATGTTTGTTGTTGATGATACAAACTGAGTTACAATTGGGTGACTACATTTATTACAGATGTCACATTTTCTCTCTCTCTCTCTCTCTCCCCGTCTGTCTCTCTCTCTCTGTAGACGGCAGTGATAGAGAGATGGAGCGGATGGAGGAGTTGCCGCTGTGTAGCTGTAGGATGGAGGCTCCTCGTGTGGAGCGACTCACCGCGCACACGCAGCGCACCTGCATGGCCATCGAGAGCATCAATGGACAGGTGAGACCACAGCCCTTCTGAGAAAGTGTAGGGGGCGATATGGCTTCTATTGTAGTAGACTGTAATACACTACAGGAAGTGTAGGGGGCGATATGGCTTCTACTGTTTCATTTAAAAAGCCTCTATAATGTTCATATGATCCACACAGTCATTCTGACAGACTGTAATACACTACAGGAAGGGTAGGGGGCGATATGGCTTCTACTGTTTCATTTAAAAAGCCTCTATAATGTTCATATGATCCACACAGTCACTCTGACAGACTGTAATACACTACAGGAAGTGTAGGGGGCGATGTGGCTTCTACTGTTTCATTTAAAAAGCCTCTATAATGTTCATATGATCCACACAGTCATTCTGACAGACTGTAATACACTACAGGAACTGTAGGGGGCGACATTGCTTCTACTGTTTCATTTAAAAAGCTCTATAATGTTCATATGATCCACACAGGCATTCTGACAGACTGTAATACACTACAGGAAGTGTAGGGGGCGATATGACTGCAGCAGAGACATAAAAATCAAAAAGAATAGTTAATTGAATAATCGTGGGTAGATTAATAGATTGTTGTAGTGGTCACTGGTAGTGATCCTGTCATTATGTGTACTGTGTCTATATTTATTTCATTAAACTAATCTAACCCCCCCTTGTTTTCCTCTCTCCCTCCGTCTCTCTCAGCTGGTGGGCTGTACCAATAAGATCATGAAGGGGGAGACGATGCGTCCGTCCAGCCGTGTGTCTCTGATGGTTCTGTGTGAAACTCATCGCTCACACATGGTCAAACACCACTGCTGCCCGGGCTGCGGATACTTCTGCCTGTCTGTACGTTTATAAAATAAAAGTCCTAGTTAATTCTCACTGTGTTTAATAAATCACTGAACAATTATTATTATTATTATTATTATTATTGTTGTTGTTATTATCACATAGGGTGTCTTGGAAATTATTACTGTTTATGTATGAATGGTAAACGAATATGAAGTCATGTCCTCAAGGGACTTTTTTAGATTAATATTTTTATAATTATTACCAGTAGTAGTAGTATATAGGGGACATTTTTGAGTATTATTATTATTGTATATGTACCTATTCTGTATGAGTATGAATTCATAGGGGTCATTTTTGGAGTGTTCTTGTTATCAGTATTATTATTATTATTATTATTATTATGAGTTATATGAGTTGTGTATTAATTTTCAGGAGATCTTTTCGGAGTGGTGTTATTATTATTATTATTATTATTATTATTATATTATTATTATTGTATTTGTATGTATATGAATTGTGTATTAATTTTCAGGGAACGTTTCTGGAGTGCTGTCCGGACGTTCGTATTGCTCACCGGTTCCACCGTGGCTGTGTGTCGGTGTTGGGCAGTGGGCGGAGCCGTTGTGGAGCGGGCGGCGGTCTGCTGTTCTGCCCGCACTGTGGAGAGGATGCCTCTGAGGCCCAGGAGGTCACCATCCCCCCGGCAACACCGACACCAGGGGCAACTGTAGTCACAGCAACCGCTTCCTCAACAACAACCACACCCTCGCTCCTCCCGTCCACGCTCACCGTGGCAACCACAGCGCTTAGCAACGAGAAGAGGACTGGCGAGCCAATCAGGTTAGAGAAGAGAGCTGCAGTTCTGTTGCTGAAAGGACACTGTTATTGAGAATATTAATAATAATTAAAAGAATATCATTAGTGTTATCTTCAATATTCATTAATTTTGAGGCGGTTCTTTCTCTTACGCCAATGTGTCGCCTCTTGTTTTATTTCTTATATATATATTTGTAAATCAGTGCGAGGATGCATTGGCGTGGTGAGGCAAGAAAGGGGGCGGAGCTTCAGTTACAGGCTCCCAGTGCTGCGGCTGGAGGGGGTGTGGTTGAGGATGTGATTGCCCAGGGTGACGGGGGTGTGGACAGTGTGGGCCCCTCCCTCGTTCTGCCCAATGGGAAGCCAGTCTGCCCCAGTGCACTTCCTCCAGGAGACAGGAGGGCGGCGCTACAGAGAGCGATTCTCACCCAGGATACCGAGAGGTAACACGAACATGTGCAACTGTAAATGTAGTTCTTATGTAGCCATATCATAAATTATATTAAATTACATTGTTAAAGCACACACTGCACTGTCTGTTTTCTGATTGGTTGACTGGGGTTTTTGATATTCTCTTGTGGCCTTTTTCTGCGTCCTGAATGGTCAGGAAGAAGAAACTGAGGTTCCATCCACGCCAGCTTTACCCAGCAGCCAAACAGGGGGAGGTCCAGAAAGTTCTGCTCATGCTCAGTACGTTCACACAGCCTCCACCAATCAGCACTGTCCTTGTGAGCTCGCTGACCAGTTTTTGATGTTGAACAACTTAAGCTTTCATACTGTACAACGAATAAACCAGTAATTTTACACTATATATATTTACTATGTTCTCAGGAAGGTCACAGGTGTTTTAATTAGGTTTTTATGCCTAATTTTTTGATAATTTTACTGCACATGTTCCATTTATTTGCTAATTATGATGTATTGGGGGAAAAAGAACACAATTTACATTTTTTTTTTTTCCCCAAAATGTTAAATTCAGCAAATAAACAGTAACTGTGCATTAAAATTTGCAGATGTTCTCTATAGAGGATGTGTTGACTTATTTATTAATTTATTTAATAATTAAAACCAAATTAATAATAATAATAATTTATCAATTATTATTAGTTATTTGTTAGTAATTTGTCATGTCCCTTCGAATATTTTTAGTGACAATAAGAACATTAATATTGTCATTTCCTTTGAATGTTGTGAATGTTGTTAAGAATGTTAGCAACTTTAGCAACTAAGGAATTTAGTAATATTGTTAATGTATTTTTTTTATTCTTAATCATCTGAAAATGTTGTATATAATCTATTTTACTACATTAGCAACATGATAAAAAATGATAAAAATTTCCACCATCAATAATAGAAACACGTTTATCATATATACATTGTGCTTATAATTAACAAGCATGCTTCAGTACCAAACACTAGTCATGTGTTGCTTTGATAAAGGAAATATTTATTAAAGGTGTACATTGATGAGAACGCACACATTCACACATGTCTAGCAGTGAAGCTATTAGCATAGCAAGTTGCTTTTGTTTGCATCTTGTGAAGAAGAGAAACAGTCATGAACCCACACCAGCAGGAGCTCATAAGCACACATGATTGTACACAGTAGGCGATTTCAGACCCTACTTATAGTGTTTTAATTATTCATACAATACATAATACATGTCTGTCTCTCTCGTAGTGGAAGGTATAGATCCAGCATATCAGCCTGATTCTCAGAATCGTCGTTCTGCTCTTCATGCTGCAGCTCAGCGTGGCCTGCTGGACGTCTGCTACCTCCTTATACAGGTACACTGTTACTTGTAATTTGTAAATAATATAAATCCAAATTGTGGTGTAATTTAAGATGTCGTGATGCAGTGTTGATGTATATGTTTTGTAATGAATAATGAACGACCCAGGAGCTTTCTAGGAGTTTACAAACAATACACTACACATTAGCTACTCTTCGAGTTTACTAACAGTCTTACACATGTATTAAAATCATAACAACAGTCAAAATCTGAGTTTAGACTCCAGCCAGACACTACTGCTTTTTAATCTGAAGTGTAAATATGACTCAGAAGCTTCTTTCTCATCATCAAAACAGAACGTAACAGTTTGTTGTTGTCTGTATTTGTTTTGGTGTATTTAGGCAGGCGCTAAGGTGGACGCTCAGGATAAAAGTCTGAGGACTCCTCTGCTGGAAGCGATCATGAACAACCAGGTGGAGGTGGCCCGATTCCTCATGCAGAGCGGAGCGTGTGTTTACCACGTAGTGAGTATTAACATACTAATGCGCACAGCCAGTGAACCAGACAGCATTAGAGGCGTCTTCTTTTCTCGCATTTCGGTAGAAGTTAGCTGACGCTAGTATCTGAACAGCCAAATACAGGCCCTCCCTTCAGTGTTCATTCCACAACCCCACCCCCAAACAAATACTGTCCCTCCCTTCAGTGTTCACTCCACAACCCCACCCCCAAACAAATACAGTCCCTCCCTTCAGTGTTCACTCCAAAGCCCCCCCAAACAAATACAGTCCCTCCCTTCAGTGTTCCCTCCAAAACCCCACCCCCAAACAAATACAGTGCCTCCCTTCAGTGTTCCCTCCAAAACCCCACCCCCAAACAAATACAGTGCCTCCCTTCAGTGTTCCCTCCAAAACCCCACCCCCAAACAAATACAGTCCCTCCCTTCAGTGTTCTCTCCAAAGCCCCACCCCCAAACAAATACAGTCCCTCCCTTCAGTGTTCCCTCCAAAACCCCACCCCCAAACAAATACAGTGCCTCCCTTCAGTGTTCCCTCCAAAACCCCACCCCCAAACAAATACAGTCCCTCCCTTCAGTGTTCCCTCCAAAACCCCACCCCCAAACAAATACAGGCCCTCCCTTCAGTGTTCCCTCCAAAACCCCACCCCCAAACAAATACAGGCCCTCCCTTCAGTGTTCTCTCCAAAGCCCCACCCCCAAACAAATACAGTCCCTCCCTTCAGTGTTCCCTCCAAAGCCACACCCCCAAACAAATACAGTCCCTCCCTTCAGTGTTCCCTCCAAAACCCCACCCCCAAACAAATACAGTCCCTCCCTTCAGTGTTCCCTCCAAAACCCCACCCCCAAACAAATACAGGCCCTCCCTTCAGTGTTCTCTCCAAAGCCCCACCCCCAAACAAATACAGTCCCTCCCTTCAGTGTTCCCTCCAAAGCCACACCCCCAAACAAATACAGTCCCTCCCTTCAGTGTTCCCTCCAAAACCTCAGCCCCAAACAAATACAGTCCCTCCCTTCAGTGTTCCCTCCAAACACAGTCCTACCCTTCAGTGTCTCTCTCTCTCTCTCTTCCTCTCTCTTCCTCTCTCTTCCTCTCTCCCTCTCTCTCTCTCTCTCTCTCCTCCCTCTCTCTCTCTCTCTCTCTCTCTCTCTCAGGAGGAAGATGGCTCCACTGGTCTTCATCACGCTGCTAAACTGGGGAATCTGGAGATCGTCACGCTTTTACTCAACACCGGTCAGGTGGACATAAACGCTCAGGTATGGTCTGGACTGTGACTGTTTATTTTGAGAACTGATGGATTCACATTAGAACCATTTAACCCAGTAATTCAGCAGATATTTAGTGACAAAGATATTAAAGCTTCATCTTTTAATATAATATATAATAATCCATATAATATCATATAGTAATCATAGTGATAATGCTAATAAGAATGATGTACTTTGTTGCTCTCTCTCTGTAGGACAGTGGTGGATGGACTCCAATAATCTGGGCTGCTGAACACAGACACACTGACATAATCAGAGCTCTACTGAACCGGGGGGCCGACGTCACACTCAAAGACAAGGTCAAACACACACAGTCAATCAATGTTACGCCAAACAATGTTAATTCAACAGAGATTTAAAAACTGCCTACAGCAATTTGGCCCCACCCATTCTTACTGCAGCAGTTTGGCCCCACCCATTCTTACTGCAGCAGTTTGGCCCCACCCATTCTTGCTGCAGCAGTTTGGCCCCACCCATTCTTGCTGCAGCAGTTTGGCCCCACCCATTCTTGCTGCAGCAGTTTGGCCCCACCCATTCTTACTGCAGCAGTTTGGCCCCACCCATTCTTACTGCAGCAGTTTGGCCCCACCCATTCTTACTGCAGCAGTTTGGCCCCACCCATTCTTACTGCAGCAATTTGGCCCCACCCATTCTTACTGCAGCAGTTTGGCCCCACCCATTCTTACTGCAGCAGTTAGCCACTCCCATTCATCCTATAGCAGTTTGGCCCCACCCATTCTTACTACCCCCACCCCTTTCGCCTACAGCAATTTAGTCACTTATAGCACTATTAATTTGTAACTTACCCACAGCGCTGAGTCGTCTTCTGGATGGACAGAAACACCTGTGGATGTTTTCAGATCTGATCAGCTTGATTTTCTCCTCTCTCTCAGAGATGAAAGCTTTAAGTGCTGTTTATCTGATGGGGCAGTTTTGGGGTCTACCAGGTCTTCCAGGTGACTGTTAGGAGACAATTTTTTTTGTCTTTTAGTCATTTTTTTAACTTTTGTTTTGGAAACTCCTGATTTTTCACTTTGACTTTCTCTTTCCTTATGCAAGTGGATTATCTTACATTTAATAGTCTCAGAAATATTTCCTGAAAAATCAGTAACTTGTACTTAATGGCTGATTTGACGGGAAATACTTCAGGAACGACATACTTCTAATAATATAAAAATGTAATTATCTCTGTCTGTGTTGTAGGAGATGAATGTGTGTTTGCACTGGGCGTCGTTTGCGGGCAGCGCGGAGATCGCTGAGCTGGTTCTGAATGCGGGCTGTCCACTCTCGAGCGTGAACCTGCATGGAGACACGCCGCTGCACATCGCTGCCCGAGAAGGATACAACGACTGCGTCACGTCAGTACAGATCACTTATTAACGTGTGGGGAGAAAATTATGGCTCTTCAATGCAAATAGCAACATTTAATCCAATAACCTCGATTAAAATCTCGTTACGTTAATGTAAATTAACATCGTCCTGTATGGTTACCATTCTGGCGCTGTTTGTGTGTCGTTGCAGGTTGTTCCTGTCTCGCGGAGCGGACATTGACGTGATGAACAGGGAAGGAGACACGCCCCTCTCCCTGGCGCGCCCTGATTCGCCGGTTTGGGTGGCGCTCCAGATAAACAGGAAGTTGCGCAGAGGAATAGCCAATCGGATCGTCCGGACAGAGAGGATCATCTGCAGGTGATGTTCTAAACCTCTCGGTAGATTCATTTCAATCCAGGATTAGCAGGTGCACGATTTCCCCACCAAATTGAGCCACTTTGAAAATGCAGTTGTGATTGAAAATGATACATTGTTGTGTAGAGAGTAACAATGAATATAGTAATTTAAATACTGTAGCATTTGATCATCAGGTTGGTATTCATTTCCTTATTTAGTATTTGGAAGCTTCGTCTTTGGTAACACTTCACACCTCGGCAGAATTATAGAACATTTTTCAGAAATTGAGGCTGATTATGCAGTATTTACCACATATTTGTCAATTATTTATCACATTTTGTCATAAAACCATGAAAAATGTGCAATTATATAACTAATTAATTAATTACTTAATTAATTGCTATATACTTGATTAGGCTAAAATGTTGAAGGACATTCAGAGTTTAATGTACGTGTTTTGTTTTTAAGCGCAGTTATGACTTGCGTCCAGGTTAGCCGTGGTTCTCTGTGTGACTGTGTCCGGTTCTGTGTTTTAGTGATATAGCTCAGGGCTATGAGAACATTCCCATCCCCTGTGTGAACGGAGTGGACGATGAAGGCTGTCCGTCTGATTATAAATACATCGCCGAGAACTGCGAAACGTCCGCCATGAACATCGACCGCAACATCACCCACCTACAGGTATGCAGACACACCTGACATCACTGCAACACACCCACCTACAGGTACACGGACACACCTGACATCACTGCAACACACCCACCTACAGGTACACGGACACACCTGACATCACTGCAACACACCCACCTACAGGTACACGGACACACCTGACATCACTGCAACACACCCACCTACAGGTACACGGACACACCTGCCAGCACCGCAACACACTCACCTGTTCCAGCTCACGTGTTTGAGTTCTCCTGTTCCAGTTGGTCTAGTTCGCCCAATCTAGTTCTCCTGTTCTAGCACACCTGTTCAAGTCCACCTCTTCTGGTTCACCTGATCTTGTGTGCGTGTTACAGTTCTGTTCTAGTCCTTCAGATGTAGTTCTTCTAGTCAAGTTCACCTGGTCTAGTTCTCCTAGTCTGGTTCTCCTGGTCTAGTTCTCCTGGTCTAGTTCTTCTGATCTAGTAATCCTCTTCTAGTTCTCCTGGTCTAGTTCTTCTGATCTAGTAACCCTCTTCCAGTTCTCCTGTCTAGTTCTCCTGGTCTAGTTCTTCTGATCTAGTAATCCTCCAGTTCTCCTGGTCTAGTTCTCCTGGTCCAGTTCTCCTGGTCTAGTTCTTCTGATCTAGTAATCCTCCAGTTCTCCTGGTCTAGTTCTCCTGGTCTAGTTCTTCTGATCTAGTAATCCTCTTCCAGTTCTCCTGGTCTAGTTCTTCTGATCTAGTAATCCTCTTCCTGTTCTCCTGGTCTAGTTCTTCTGATCTAGTAATCCTCTTCCAGTTCTCCTGGTCTAGTTCTCCTGGTCTTTTTCAAATGGAGTAACACTTTATTTGGATGGTCCACTCTAGATACTTTGCAGATGCTCAGTCTGTCTTTAAGTAACATTCAAATAAAAATCTATTAAATGCAGCTGAACTTGAAGTTGCGTGTGGAAGATTCTATTAAATCTAACCCTAATCCTAACCCTAAACCTAACCTCAAAGTAAAACCTACACCTGCTCCTAATCCTAACCCTAACCATAATGTTGTTGATAATCAACTGAACATCACCAGAAAGTTTGTTATTGATTTGAATATCTGTAGATCATCTATAGGGGGACCGTCCAAATAAAGTGTGACCCAAACTGATGCTGTGATGTATTTGGACAGTAATGTGATGTTGAATTTTGAACTCTAGATGATCTAGGACTAGTTTAGTAAATCTCCAGGAGTAAGACTGAGCATCCCAGCTTTAACGTCATTCTGAATGTGTGACACTGAAGTAATGTTTGTGTTTGCTGTAGCACTGTAGCTGCACTGATGACTGCTCCTCCAGTAACTGCCTGTGTGGACAGCTCAGCATCCGCTGCTGGTACGACAAGGTAAAACACAACTTAACATAGAAGCACATTAGAGCTGTGAACAACAATCAAAAGGCTGTGTGGTGTAATATACCAAAATCATGCTAACTGAACATACCTATCTCCAGCTTACTCTGCTACCTGGACATAGATCACACTGGCTTACTCTACTAACTGAGTTAAATAACAGTTGCTAAATGTTCTGGTAGTATTGAGTGAATGGCTAGATGACCTCAGCCTTCCAGTTTTGGGCAGTAACATGTACCTCATAGCAGTATGTAAGTAAGCTGTGTGGAGTATTTTTAAAACAGATAGTTGACTTTAGATGTGGAGTGAAAGTTTGCCAAAGTGAAGAAACAGTAAAAGGAATGTTGGATCGTTAAAATTTCATGCAGTACTTTTACTTTGTACCCTAAAGAAGATTTCAACTCAAGTACTTGTGTACTTTAACTTACTAAAATATGAATAGAGAACTTTTATTTGAGTAATATTTTACCAAAAGTATGTACTTTTACTCAAGTACTGGATTCGTGAAGTTTATCCATCAGCATATAAAAGAGAAAAGACTCACAGCGCCACCTAGTGTACGAAGGAAGCAACTGTGCACGAGTTCAAGCCTTCACTGCCAATAATTATCATTTTCTTTATGTGATGTGATACGTGTTTATTGATGAAAGACTTGATTGTTTATTGATTGTAACTGTGTCTGTGTCTGCAGGACCAGCGCCTCCTTCAGGAGTTCAATAAGATAGAGCCTCCTCTGATCTTTGAGTGTAACCTGGCGTGTTCCTGTTATAAATCCTGTAAGAACAGGGTGGTGCAGGCTGGAATAAAGTGAGTTTAAACACAGTTTACTCATCTGTCTGTTTCCCCTCATCAGCTTTGTTTTATCCCAGGTACTGATCTCATTAGTACAGTTACCTAACACCTGGTCTGTTTGTGTTAGGGTGCGTTTACAGCTCTATCGTACTGAGAAGATGGGCTGGGGTGTCAGAGCTCTACAGGACATTCCACAGGGCAGCTTCATCTGCGAGTGAGTAAATCTATCTATCTCTCTCTCTCCGTCTCTCTCTTTTTCTCACAGATGTTCCCCAGGTCTAGTTCTCCTGGTCCAGTTCTCCTGCACTAGTTCACCTGAAATAGTTCTCCTGGTCTAGTTCACTTGGTCTAGTACTAATGGCCTAGTTCATTTGGACTAATACTCCTGGTCTAGTTGATTTGGTCTAGTACTCCTGGTCTAGTTTGCCTGAAATAGTTGTCGTTGACCTAAAATAGTTCTCCTGTCCTAGTTCAGCTGAAGTAGTTTTCCTGGTCTAGTTCACCTAAAATAGCTCTCCTGGACCAGTTCACCTGAAATAGATCCCCTGGTCTGGTTCATCTGGAATAGTTCTCCTGGTCTAGTTTACCTGGAAAAGTTATCCTGATCTAGTATTCCTGGTCTAGTTCACCTAAAATAGCTCTCCCGGCCCAGTTCACCTGAAAAAGTTCTCCTGGTCTAGTACCCTGGTCTAGTTTAGCTGGAACCATTCTCCTGACCTCGTTCGCCTGGGGTAGTTCTGGCCTAGCTCTTCTTTCTCGACTTCTTCTGCAGGTCATGTTTTTGTTCTAATACTCTATGCATTTGTACAGGTATGTCGGAGAGCTGATCTCTGATGCAGAAGCTGATGTGAGAGAAGATGATTCATATTTGTTTGATCTGGATAACAAGGTAACACATCCATTAACACTGCCGATTAAACCTCCACACCTGTGTAATAGTGCGGATTACATCTGCACACCCGTTTAATAGAGCAGATTACACCTGCTCACCTGTTTAATAGAGCTGATTAAATCTCCACACCTGTGTAATAGAGCGGATTAAACCTCCACACCTGTTTAATAGAGCAGATTAAACCTGCATACCCATTTAATAGAGCGGATTACACCTGCACACCTGTTTAATAGAGCGGAATACACCTGCACACCTGTTTAATAGAGCGGAATACACCTGCACACCTGTTTAATAGAGCGGAATACACCTGCATACCTGTTTAATAGAGCGGATTAAACCTCCACACCTGTTTAATAGAGCGGATTACACCTGCACACCTGTTTAATAGAGCGGATTACACCTGCACACCTGTTTAATAGAGCGGATTACACCTGCACACCTGTTTAATAGAGCGGAATACACCTGCACACCTGTTTAATAGAGCGGATTAAACCTGCTCACCTGTTTAATAGAGCTGATTAAATCTACACATCTGTGTAATAGAGTGGATTAAACCTCCACACCTGTTTAATAGAGCAGATTAAACCTCCTCACCTGTTTAATAGAGCGGAATACACCTGCATACCTGTTTAATAGAGCGGATTAAACCTGCTCAACTGTTTAATAGAGCGGATTAAACCTGCTCAACTGTTTAATAGAGCGGAATACACCTGCATACCTGTTTAATAGAGCGGATTAAACCTGCTCAACTGTTTAATAGAGCGGATTACACCTGCACACCTGTTTAATAGAGCGGATTAAACCTGCTCAACTGTTTAATAGAGCGGAATACACCTGCATACCTGTTTAATAGAGCGGATTAAACCTGCTCAACTGTTTAATAGAGCGGATTAAACCTGCTCAACTGTTTAATAGAGCGGAATACACCTGCATACCTGTTTAATAGAGCGGATTAAACCTGCTCAACTGTTTAATAGAGCGGATTAAACCTGCTCAACTGTTTAATAGAGCGGAATACACCTGCATACCTGTTTAATAGAGCGGATTAAACCTGCTCAACTGTTTAATAGAGTGGAATACACCTGCACACCCGTTAAATAGAGCGGAATACACCTGCACACCTGTTTAATAGAGCGGAATACACCTGCACACCCGTTTAATAGAGCGGAATACACCTGCACACCCGTTAAATAGAGAGGAATACACCTGCACACCCGTTAAATAGAGCAGATTACACTTGCTCACCTGTTTAATAGAGCTGATTAAACCTCCACACCTGTTTAATAGAGCAGATTAAACCTCCACACCTGTTTAATAGAGCGGAATACACCTGCACACCTGTTTAATAGAGCGGAATACACCTGCATACCTGTTTAATAGAGCGGATTAAACCTGCACACCTGTTTAATAGAGCGGATTAAACCTGCATACCTGTTTAATAGAGTGCATTTACTCTCCACACCTGCTTAATAGAGCTGATTAATCCGCTCTATTAAACAGGTGAGCAGATTTAGACCTGCACACCTGTTTAATAGAGTGCATTAAAGCTCCACACCTGCTTAATAGAGCTGATTAAAACCTGAACGGATTAAACCTGCTCTTCTGTTTTAATAGAGCGGATTAAACCTGCTCACCTGTTTAATAGAGTAAATAAACAGACTTATTCTTTCTGTTTTTCTGTCTTTCTCTGCAGGATGGTGAGGTGTACTGCATCGACGCCCGTTACTATGGTAACATAAGTCGTTTCATTAATCATCTGTGTGACCCAACATCATCCCTTGTGCGAGTGTTCATGCTGCATCAGGACCTGCGCTTCCCCCGCATCGCCTTCTTCAGCTCCAGAGACATCCTAACAGGACAGGAGCTCGGGTAATGGGATTATAGCAGTGATACACTATATGATCAAAAGTATGTGGACACTTAACTGCCGCACTCATATGAGCTTGTTGGACGTCCCATTCCAAAACCATGGCCGTTAATATGAAGTTGCCCCCCTTTTGTGGTTATGACAGCTTCCACTCTTCTGGGAAGCTTTCTACAAGATGTTGGAGAGAGTCTGTAGGAATTTGTGTCCATTCAGTCAGAAGAGCATTTGTGAGGTCAGACACTGATGTTGGACGAGAGGGTCTGGCTCACAATCTCCGTTCTAGTTCATTCCAAAGGTGTTCAGTGGGGTTGAGGTCAGGGCTCTGTGCAGGCCACAGGAGTTCCTTCACACCAAACTGGTCACACCATGCCTTTATGGAGCTGCTTTGTGCTCAGGGGCTCAGTCATGCTGGAACAGGAAAGGCTCTTCCCCAAACTGCTGACACAAAGCTGGAAGCAGATAATTGTCTAGAATGTCTTTTGTGAGCTGTAGCATTAACATCACCCTTCACTGGAACTAAGGGGTCTGAAAAACAGCCCCAGCCCATCATCCCTCCTCCACCAAACTTTACTGGCACTGTGAATTCCAGTAGGTAGCGTTCTCTTGGTATCCACCAAACCCAGACTCATCCATTGGTCTGCCAGATAGTGAAGTGTGATTCATCACTCCAGAGAACACATTTCCATTGATCCAGAGTCCAGTGGTGTGTGCTTTACACCACTCATGGCGTTGCACACAGTGATCTTAGGCTTGTGTGCAGCTGCTCAGCCATGAAAGCCCATTTCGTGAAGCTCCTGATGCTCAGATCTTGTGCTGATGTTGCTTCAAGAGGCAGTTTGATACTCAGTCGTGAGTGACACAGCAGATGAAAGGCAATAGGTGGTCTTGCTCTTTGAGTTTGCCTGGTCTACCACTTCATGGCTAAGATGTTTCCTTTCCATTTCACATTCATAGCACTTACAGTTGTCCAGGGCAGCTCTAGCAGGGCAGAAATTTCATGAACTGATTTGTTGCAAAGGTGTCATCCTATGACAGAGCCATGTCACACTCAAGACACTCAGCTGTTCAGTACGACCCATTCTACTGCCAGTGTTTGTCTATGGAGACTGCATGGCTACATGTTTGATTTCATATTTCTGTTAGCAATGGGTGTGACTGAAACACCTGAACTCAGTATTTAGAAGGGTGTCCACATACTTTGTGGATCTGTGTTCTGCACAGTACTGTGGGTTTAACAGCTTCTGTATTGAGGGTCTCACTGCTGCTCTTCTTCTCTTTGTCTCTGTTTGTCAGGTTTGATTATGGAGATCGATTCTGGGACATTAAGAGTAAATACTTCACGTGTCAGTGCGGCTCGGAGAAATGTAAACATTCGGCCGAAGCCATCGCGCTGGAGCAGAGCCGGCTGGCCCGCATGGAGACGTGTCCGGAGTCGGGGAGTGAACCTGCGCTAAGCATTGTGGGAAACTCATAAACTCTGAGCGAGTCTGGAACCTGCTGAACCCGACTGCAGACCTACAGAGTCGACTCGACCAGAGCGGAGCCCTTCTACAGCTCAATATGACTAATTCAAACAGTTAAAGAGACAGTTTGGCCAGAATTGAACTGACCCAGTTTTCCCAATTAGTGTAGCCGATCAGCCGAGTCGTATTTGGTGTCGGAAGTTTACTTCTTTAGTTTTTGTCTTTAGGCTGACGTAACCTTAAACACCACCAATTAGCACAGTGCTAACTACAGGCCTAAAGCCTCAAACCATGTGGAGTTGTTTAGTAATCTCTGAAAATGAATCCTTTATTTTTCTTGTATTTTATTTTGAGGTCCACTTCTAACATTTGTGTGGTCTTATGTACCAAAAACACTCATCATTAGTTTTTTACCGACCATTTTCCAGCCTCTCTTTATCTCTGAGAATTAAACAGGCTGTTTTTGTCACTGCGCCTTTAAGACTGATATATGTAAATGTGCTCTTTTCTGATTGACTGTGCCTCATTCAAAAAGCAGTCCAGGCTGAAACACTTCTTATAACTTCAGTGGTAGCAGGTGGAGCAAGTTTGGCAGGCTGAATAGGAGGATATATGTAAATGAGTTGTGGCTTTTTGTGACATCACAAAAGCAGTGGATTGAAAATGAGCTGTTACTGTGCCTTTACGACTGATATATGTATATTAGCTCTGATCTGATTGGCTGTGCCATGTTTAAAAAGCAGTCTGAGCTGAAACACTCCTTGTAACCTCA